TCTAATTTTAAAATACATATGTTTTTGCACGCAAAAAACGGAGGAAATTAATGCACACACCTAATACATTCCGGGGATCTCTTTCGAAAAAAGTATTTCAGGTACGGTAAAGAAGTTCATACGTTTTCAAGGACTTTGCTGTGCCCGAAATTAAGTCTATTATTATCTGAAATAATTACACCTTTCCTTGCTGGCGGAAATGTACTGATTCAATTAATTTTGACTTTTTTTCGGTTGTAATTGTTGAAGTAGGATACGCTTCCTTGAAATCGAAAGGGAATCACAAGAATTACAAGACTTCCTTGACAACCTGGTCATAGGATATTTCGTGCCACATCATGTCTCGCCTTTAACGGAAGAGTCTCTTAAAAGGTGAAAAAGAAATTTCTGTTGTGATGAGAAATGGCTCCAGCAGTTTATCGGAAAGAGCATTCTTCTGTCAGTGAAATGAAAATCGTCTGAACTCTTAAAGCCGTATGTGTAAACATTATAGATTGAGGTTTGAGCAGCTTTTCCGGATGCTGAAAAGTAAGAGGCCATTCGTAAATATCTGTCCAGCAAGATGAGTCTCGTAGCCACGTGACCGTTAGAACTAGAAATTCGTATCCGTGTTCATTCATATTACTGGAAAAATTCAACATTATTCGGTCCCCCAGCTTTCCCTCATCAACTGTATTCTGCCACTTGTATGGAGTGATTTGATGTTTTTCCTCCTCTAAATCCTGACTCCTTCGTTTGTTCTCGTTTATATTCATCCCGATACAAACGATTTTGTATACCATCCCTGGTATAGTAAAATCACTCAATCGGGTTATACATACAGAGTCGATTGTTGAGCTGTTTTCTACGAAATATAGCTCCACATTAGAGGTTGGTACACTTTCAAATGAAACTGTGTTTTCTAGATCTGACTTCCTCAAACACTCTCTCATGGCAGTGCTAATTTTTTTCATTTATAAAAGAGGTAGGAGACCGTTTTCTCTTAGAACGAGGTACCACCGCACACATTCATTGCACTATGAGATGAAGCTCTAAGAGTGGTAGAAAGGTTATCTACACTCCGATTGACCTTCTTTGCATGGAATTTTCGACAGATGTTCCCTCTTATAATCCTGACCACTGACCAGCCTATTGTGCTGCTTGAATGAATAGAAGAGCAGGGAACAATGGAGGATGATGTTGAGATTCTCGTGCCACTTAAAAGTACATGACGTTCTGAGAATTTACTCTAGAGGCACGGTGAAAATGGTTTTCAAGATATATCTTGAGGATGAATCCATGCCCCACGGTGTAATACATGAGGCGAAAAACGGTCCAGATTGAAGTATAAACTCTTTCCGCTTTTATCAATCCCGTCTGAGCGATGTGTCTATGCATTCGACTTCCATTCGGAATAGTATCGAATGCGTATGTGGCCTGGTATAGAAAGACTTGCAGTGGCTAGCTGTTGTACAAATCAGTGTTTTTATCCTCACAAACGAATCTGGCAGCAATTAACCGACCCCGGAGGGGGAGATACGTAGTTGGCCAGGGCGGATATCGACCCGGATTTCGAACCCGTGAGCATGCGTGTGAGACAGTGCGCCACTTGGCACCACATTACACCCATATTTCAGTATAATCAACGTTTGAAATAGATTGCAGCTGTTTCAGTATGAGAAAAAAAAAACCTTAAGGAAAATCACATTCACCACTTCCTATTCTAGCATGTTCAATGTTTGAAAGAGATCGCGTCGTTTCGCTGATTGGTGGCTCTCATTCTCTTCTCAATGCTCAGCTGGAGAGGCTAACGGATCAGGTAAGCCACTCAAAATTTATCAACTGCCTAAATTGAGTGACACGAAAAGTTTAGGAAACTAAGAAAAAGACGTGACTATGGAAACTGTTTCTTGAAAAAAAAGTTTTGATTTGAAGCTAAGCGAGTGAAAGGAGTAAGCTCGTATAATAGGAAAACCATCACTCTAACAGGGGAACGGAATTTACGTGCGTCCGAGGATGCGCGCGGCACATTGCGCGGCGAAGTGCGTGGCGATATGGGCGACCTTAGCGCCTATCATTGGGGCCCAAATTAGAAGTAGAATAGTTGGTAGGATCGGCTCACCCCACTTAACTACTGTACTTCAAGTTTGTGCCCCGATACTAGACGCCAGAGTTGTTCCAATCGCCACAAACTTCGCCGCGCGCATCCTCGGACGCACGCATGTACCCGTACCCCTTTTACAGCCATCGGAGTAATTTACTACTTAAGCTCGACATTCCGCTATTAACTGCTAGCGACGATGTACATCCAAGTGCTGGGAACACTAAGGTAAGGTTGTCATCATAAGCATTTCGATTGTGGTATGTATAATTTGGAAGAATTACGTACACCAAAAAGTATTTTCATTGAAACCATCACTGTTTCCGAACTAGGTCACGCCGCAGCCATCGCACGCGGCGCGTCAGCCCGCGATACTTGACAGACGTCGCATTTGTCGGTGGGGCATACGAATGACGCTTGGTCCACAGCAGTCAGCCTCAGAGGAGATAACACGGGCTAGTGCAAATCATTCGCTCCACTGACACTGAGCGGTACTGCAACGTCACCTCGAGTTCGTGGTGGGTTGCGTCGCGTGCGAGGTGGGTGGGGTACCTAGTTTCGACGGACGCGCGGAACGGACGTTCACCGTTGATCGGAAGCTAAATTTGACTCCCATTTGAAACTGATCTCGCGCTATCAGACTATTCTTTGTTTTATTCCTTGCTGAACTTCTTAAACGGGATAAGCTTCACTGAAGAAGATGATGGCAAATCTTGTGTAACACAGCTTTTGCCAAAAAAAAAAAACAGAAGTTGTAATAAAGTGTTGTGGAGTGATCGAGAAAATGGCAAGTTGTAATAAGACGAAATAGAGACAATTTCAATGATTAAGGTTTGTGTCTCGAGATTATAACTTTTTGAAAACCCTCACAAACCTCATTACTTTCCCAGCAACTCAATACCAATGCACTATTTTTTACTGACACCTCGGTGTTATTTGACAAAAGGTACCTCAAAATTATCGTAAGCCTGCCTTCAATTTGAAACGTCATCAGCAAGATATTTATCTTATAAGGAATGTAAATCGTGAGAAGTTTGATATATTAGTGGCGATACCTCAACATTGCTTTGGTTGGCACGCTCGAATTCCTAGACATTATCAAGACTCCTACAACTGGAACTACAAAAGCTTCAAAAGTATGTGCAGGTCAAAATCTTCGGACCTTTTCAAATACCTCTACGTCTGTGCTTTCCTGATTATTCTTGTTGGTGTATTTGTTTGGACCATTGTCAAATTCGATTTCCATAGATTGCATTCTTCCCTCGCGCTCAACTATTCGAAGCAATCGTCGACCTATTCCGGTATTGGCGATGGAATCGAATAACGATTGTCTATGAAGAAGATGATAGTTGGTTGATAACAGTTCTTTAGACTTTTTCTAGATCATGCCTCTATAGGTCTTTTTTCAATCTAAAAAANAAAAAATTTTTGATTTGGGATGGTGATTGACATCTTGCTACTAATTAAAGCCATTTCAGGGATACGCAGGATAGAGCCATTGCTTGAGAGTGACGCCTACTCGAATATTCGGTTTCAAGTCATTAAAGTCCAAAACAAAGATTATATGAGAGCGGCTAAAGAGGTGAGCTCTCGACACTGTTATATTCATAAACTGAAGGGATATGTACCTTAACATATTTTTCTACATTCGCCTTCATTTCATGCGGGGAAGTACACGAAGCAGCTCCTTTGTGTCTCGTGCGGTGGCTACCGCATCGCTTCATAGCTATTCTATGCTTGCGAGGCAAATTGTATGCAAATCAGTTAACGGATTGCGTATCACTTCACTCAGCAGCACAGTCACGTCTCCTTCGTAAAGGGAAGACAGCTCAATTTTTTATCTCGACAGATAAACCAAATACATTCCACCCCGATTTGTGTAGGCCTTTCCTTCACGTCATCCAGACTTGTAGAAGAGTCCAGATATCCATAAGATGAAGCTTCCTCATTAACCCTTTGACGACCACGGCACCCGCTGTTGGGTGCCACTATGGCTGGCGCTTGGGATCATGGCGCCCAATGTTGGGTGCCACGATGTTTTTTCCCTTATTTGCCCATTTGAAACTCATTCAATACTATCACATTAATCAACAAACTTTATGGTATTTATATTCAACATGCTCCACGTGTGTGTTTTATAGGAACTTATCTATTATAGTCGATGGAGTAGTACTGAAAAGGTTTCGATACTTTGGCAAGATTTGCGTGTGTCTTGGAAGCACTGGAGACAGTACTTACAATACCTGATTTGCGTTTATGTGACCGCGCGGTCGATCTCTATATCATCAAGTTTCGTTGACGTTTCCCAACCCAAAGTGCAATTCTAAGTTTGAGTTTACTATGAGATAAAATAGTTCCTGATGCTTCTGTTATGCGGAAATATTTCTAAGTTTAATAAGCCAGAGAAAGGAGTTCAGAGACCTCCTGGACCATGGTGGGTGCCAGTCGCGCAGAAAGGAAGGGGACGTGGTCACGTGGGTACGTCAGGTCAAAATCGGCGTTGTCGTCAAAGGGTTAAGGTCGGCAACAATCTGAAGTTGGATTTTCTGTTGCTGGAAACAAGACTGGGAGAAACGGTGAGTGCGAGTAGAGTCGACTTTACTGTCGACAGGAAAGCACATGGCAACGTGATACGTCCCTTCTTTGGTGGGCGAACAATTCTTGGAGGGTGGTCTTGCTCTTAAACCACAACACAAGATCTCCCTTTCCAATTCCAGGCTTGAAAGAAAAATAACTTGAACAAAACTTGTTCTTATATCTCTTTCCAGCTTTTGTTGTCATGACATTCACGATAAAAATGGTCTAGTAGATTGCCAACTGAGTGTAACAGAACACTGTTGGGTTAACAAAAAGGCGTAGATGGGGTCGATATAGGGCTCAATGGAAAGAATCCCCTAACAGCTTTCATATTGAGAAACGCTTTACCCATTTTGTGGAGACTGCACTGTTTACACTGGAGTATAAAAGATGAAATTTCAAACAGGGGATCTTCCGAGTTGGTACAGTGATTTTATTCTGCAGTTGTCTGATGTTGCACTAATTTCCTGATTTTCTAAGCTCGTATCGTACAAATGGGCTCGTTAAATGGAATCAGCTCTGAGCCATAACTCCTACCTAGATGAATTGGAAAGATTTCTCCTTCCCGCATCTCTATTACCTTAGCCGTGGAACTCTAGGCCAAGTAAACAAAATACTGAAAAGGTTGAGTAGTCATATCTATTGTAGGTGAAGGAAATGGAGGAATGCCGTTATCAAGCAAGAAAAGACTGCAATGACGTCAACCGAGTGCTGCTGGATCTCAACCCTGAACACACCTATAATTTCCTGTTGGCTGTGAGTTACTTTTCTTCTCTTCTTGTAACACTCACTAGAAACTGAGGCAATTTAGGCTCTCCAAATGGGTCTCATCGATCTGAAGCACTGGTTTCTTCTCACAAATATGGTTAGTACTTTTCTTTTCACAGTAGCCACTATTGTTGCTCCAGGAAAAAACAGATACTTGCGTTTTCTCTACTAAGAGACTTGTTTTAATTTTTTCACAAAGAAGGTTGCTGTCTTTTCACTAAAGCTTCTAAGGTCACTTTTCTCGAAAATTTTTCGAGAGAAGTGGCCTTAGAAACGCGCGAATTTTGTATACATTATATTAGATTATATATTAATACTAAATATATAACGCGCTCTCGTCTGTATACTGCGTCGTCTTTTTGTTTGTTAGTTTGTCTCGGTGAATTAATGATTCGATATTACTTGAAGAGGCACCTGGAGAAGTCTGGTAAAGTTAGGGGTGAGTTGAGCCTAGGGCAAGACCATCAGAGCACATGTACAGGAGTGGGCGGTGTCGTGGGCAGCACTTCTATTAGGTTTCATAGCACTCCAGACGCTGAGGAAATGAGCAAATGTGGGGGATGGGTCAACAAGTGAAATTAGAAGTGCCCAACGGCGGTGGGCGGAGCGTTCTCGCAGTGGGCGGTACGTTAACATAAGTTCATATCTCGGTTCATCAATTCGAGCAAAGTGTGGAAGCAAGAAAATAGGATTTAGCAAGGCTTTGTGCGTGCTGTGCATTAATACACTGAGCAAAACTCCGCCAACTATGGACGGGGCGTGCGTTCCTACAAAAACTAAGAGTGCGTCCCATGTACACACAATTACTTTTCAGATGGAGCTCAAGTGCGTGGCGCAATCTGAAACGAAGCATTTCCAAAACCCAAGGGTAGTTGCTCATAGGGTTCGACGAGCTGAGTTCAAAGGTATCTTCAGCTCCTGGAATACTCCACCTTGAACCGACTTATTGGACAAAACGAGAAAAAACGTTGCTCACGTGAATTATCGAGTTCTTACTGTTCTGTGACTGGTCATTCTTAGGTCGAAACCACTCGTCTATTTCGAACTGCATTGAAGTTATCGATCTCATATCTCCTGTACACTGAATGTAATTTTCTTCTACTACCCGTTTCAGGAGTTGTCAACAATGAACATGGACCTGTTCAAGTACAACCATGCTCGATATGTGTCACCGTATCCAGTCGATAGAACGTTTCTGATCGAAAACAAACACATGTTCAATTTCACTCAATTTCAGCAACATGTTCGCCAAAAGTGGAACTTGAAGACAGCAAATAGCAGAAATCTAAAAATGGTTGGTTATCACAGTTGACGAGACTCTAGGACCCTTCAGCATGATAAGAGAATGGTTATCGGTAGGAACACTGGCCAACAAAGAGCTACAGAAATAGTAACTCGGCACTATTGCACTATTACACCCCCAGTGGGGGGAGGGGGGGAGGGGTTGGTATAAGTCAAAAATTTTTTTCGCTTCGCCAAATTGGCGCCAGCGCCAAAAATGAGTATCATATTCGTGATCAGCGGCCTAGATAACCCGCCTGGTGCAAGTTTTCAGCGAAAAATTTTTTTGACCCATATCACCCCCCACTGGGGGTGTAAAATAGTGCAATAGTGCCAGTAACTCTCCTGGTCAGCCCAATGGGTACAACTTCATGAACCAAAGACAGCCTTGTAGTGAATTCCGAATTAACCGTAACTTATGAACCATCATCATCTATAAAACCCAATGTCTTTTCAGATGGAGGCCGTGTTCACCTTCGACGCTATCTACACCTTTGCAAACATATTCACAGACGTTTCAGCTGTGATGATGGTGAGCGGAATACAATTTGTAATCATAGAATGTTTAGACTATAAGGTCACGGAGCATTGCGATGACCACAAATCATTGTGGTTCTCGCACCTGTACTCGATTTCTAACCATGCGGAGATCCCGCTTACAAGCTAATTGACTTCACTCCCCCATGATCTATTGTCAGCCCTCGATCAAAGCTATGGATATTGTTTATCTTCTGCTCACTATATTAGCTGAGTCTCCTAGATTATTATCAAAAAAAAAACTGCAGTGTGTTGGCGTTTTAGTGAGATAGATTCCTGTAGAGCCGTGAAGCGTAAAAAAGCACAAGATTTTCTTGTGTTATACAGAGAACTCTAAGGGCTCAGAATCGAAAGATATGACAGAAAAGGCTTATCTTGGCACGGGCGGAGTCATTTGTAGACATCCTGAGCTGAAGATTCCTTGCAGTATTTCATATGTCTTGAAACTCTGGATTTGAGTCGGGGAACTCATGGAATCTCCCATGGCGAAAAGCATCAGCCAAGGTCGCCTAGCTATGTTCTCTTGTAACGACCACGCACTTCACTATATATCAATTGCTAGGCAGTTTCAGCATTTTAGGCTGAACTTTGTTCCAAGAAGGATTAAAATTCGCGGAAACGATGATAGAGAGTGTGTGGAAATTTGCAAAAGAAAAGAGCGATTTACCAAAGGGGAATCATATAATTGAAAATGCTTCCACACATTGAACTGCCGGTTCATGGATTATACTGTCGGATAGAGGCCACACAGACTTAGGGTTCCTTGCATGGTTTCAATGCTGTACTGCTACAGATACAGTATTGCTAAACATCTATATACTGAATTATGATGTTCGAAGAAACGAACGAGGTAGAGGCAGCTAGCTAAGGCATAACACATAAGCCCATCCAATGAGTAGGGACAAATGCTGGTAAGAAATTTCCTCCGCACAACAATGCTCGAACCCTCTACTCACGATGTATCAAACAGATATGTGATTCTCAAGAAAATCCTAATACTAGTAATTATGACTTTATGCTTGCTTTTCGCAGCTGGACGATCTTCCACTGACCATGTGTCGAAAACCGACAAGAAATGCTCGAAGGTATCAACATGGTCGCACGCTGATAGATCGAATATTGGAGAACGTGAGTAGGCTCTTCTTAAAAAAATTCATAAAGTGCTCAATGTAGTGCGGTTCGATGAATGGATATCATACTGTATACCCAAAAATCACTCTAATTGATCCTGTTGACTCGTTGAAAGAACCTAGTTAGAAAGGGGAATAACATGCCTCTCTTTGTTACTTCGTTATACCTTTCAATACAGCAGGATGTGGCACTTGTTTATCACAGAGTTCAGAATCTTCGAGGTCTGACAGGCGACCTTCGCAGGCTCAGTGGAAATGCAGGCAAGAGCAACTACTCGTTGAGAATTCAATTGATTGGATACAATGGCGTTCTGGAAGATGTGAGTAATTTACCTAGTCCTTTGAATCTCTCAATGAGGTAGAGTCACTCCATATTCATTTGAAACAAAGTCAAGAGAGTAGCACCAAAAAATTCACACGGTTCAGTACCGAAGATGGCTTACCAGTTTATCCTGAAGTTCCGATAAGCTAGAGTAGCACGAGTATGGGTTCGAGTTCAATCGGGCCGAAAACTTGGCTTTAATTCAACAAACTTATGATGCCCATAGGAACAGTTCTCGCATCTAACAGTCGCTTTTTTTGTCGTAAGCTCTTATTTCTACCGTCTTCGATTCTATCACCAGCAAATTTCTTGTAATACAGATAGGCTTCTGGGAGCCGGCGACTGAAGTCCACGTGAATATGAGCGGCGACTCGCGTGCTCAACTTCAGCGAAACGTCCAAGTGTCCGACGAACTCAAGCCACATTTCCGCGTCACCACTATAATGGTGAGCGTAAATCCCCTCGATATTGTTTTACTATCTATTGATCTAGCAATTAGGTGCATCAAAAGTTTTGGGACACTCGAGACATAAAATATATTGCTGCACAAAATCAAAACAAATACAGGGAATCATTTTAAATGAGCTCCATTGTAACCTACGGTCTATCTTAAGCGAGTGGGTGGACGGTAGATGTCCTTCTCAACGAACCTAGTTGGCTGGACTCTGAAGACTCATCGAGTGCCTTCTCGACGCTGTCATAGGTTTTTTGTTTTTAGTGTGCAAACGAATCTCTAAGTAATTCTTACTCGCCCTTGCACTTTGTGGATTGGAGCTGTCATGGTGAAAGTATACCTGGCTAGCTGAGGGACCAGGACATCATGGGATCGGACTTTAAATTTCGTAGTTGACCTACGTAGAGCAGCAGTCACAGTGGTACCTTCTTTCATTGTGGTACCTTCTTTCACTAGCTCCAAGTACTCAAGCTCACGAATATCCTACCACGTTTATAGCAGCAATTCCGAACGCCTTCTAATTGTACTTCTTTGTCTACGTATAGAGCTCGGCAGCAGATGTTAAAGTGTAGCACCCTACCCACTGTTCTATCCCGGTGCATAGGTTGTCCAGCAACGATTGCAAGTCTGATGGTGAGTGAGAGAATAGAAAAGACAGTTGTAGACCCTTCGAACCATGCCTTGCAGACAAAATGCATGCGATAAGCACCAACGAAGTTTCGTACGTTGCCCACCTTCTTGATATCTTTGGCAGAATGTAGAACCAATATCATGGATTGGCGGAGGTAGGACTCGTTAGATTTGATGTTAAGAAAGAACCGGAAAAACATGACTTTGTGGAGGCGGTACATGAAAGGTGTGAATTCAGGCAGCACATTTAACGCCATTCACCACTATATACCTCTAGTTAAACGTCAGAATGGTTTGTAAACCATTCTCTTCTGTAACAAAAGATACTTCAAACTACATACTCAGGATATCTATTATAGTGTTTAGTCCGGGAATGAGGCTTCACTAATTGAATCATCAGTAGAATATCAGTTTCTTGTTTCGTGTGCTGACGNTGTTTTTCTTTTGATTCCATTTATGGTCTGTTTTCACTTCTGGTATTACTGGTTTTTGTGCTAGCTCTACTCGTGAATTAGGGTGATATAGTTGCTCGATATCGCTATCTAGTAACTCACATAGTTATTCAAAGATGATTAGACTCTTCTTATCAATTACAGTAACTACTATGTCTCACCCTTTTTTGAGGCGCGTGAAACGGCACGCATGAATAAATAAATAAATAAATAAATAAATAAATAAATGGATAGTAAAAAGTGGCGAAAAAACTTTCTGAATGAGGACCGCGGAGGTCCAAGGACTTTCAAACTGATATAATATACTGTGATTTAATGTTCAAGATGATTCGATTGGAAAATAAACGGCGATTCCAGAATGTATAAGAAACAACTATATTTTTTTGTTCTGACGTAAGTGCTATGCTCCTTCAATTGTACAGTAATCACGTACAAACTTCTCCAAAGAAACCTCAGTAAAATTTCTTGACAAACTCCATTCCATCCTGAATGGTTGATTTCCTCAGAACAAATTTTCTTGATGTGCACCAATTCCACATAGAAACCGCCTGTTGAATCAGCCGCCTCCTTTTCGTGTCCCTTCCAAAGTCAGATGTACAGTAGTAGATGTGAAGGTATAAATATCCGGCCAAACACATACAAAAACACAACTTTCTTGATAATTTTAGCGATCATACCTTGAGGTCCTGATCAGGGCTCGTCCTAGTGAGTGTTTCATACTCTCACGTTTAGGAAAGACCATATGTCATGTTAAAGAAAAACCACTACGAACTGTACGGCAATATGAAGTTTGAAGGATTTTGTATAGACCTTCTTGCTGAGTTGTCGAGGGATTTAGGTGAGTCTGTTTCACTGATACCATTTTTTGTCAGCTGCATGTATATATCTCACATCAGTAGACTAATAGCGATGCGATGCTTGTGCGATGAAAAGAGAAAGCGAAGCTAGCCTAAGGTGCACACTTTGTTCTCCATCAAGGCATACCCTTCTGAGACACTTACCTCATATGACTCCAAGTTGCGAAAGGGGACTGTCATCACCTTTACTTTTTCTTGTATATGTGCCATTCATTCCGTTGCTCCATCCAAATTTCAGCACTTAGCAACCGCCCTCGGTAGAATTCAGATGGTAAAAGCCAGCTTTCTACGGGTCGATTTATTAAAATGTCTGTCTTCAAGTGACTTTTGAAAGGTCAGTGTACCAAAGCGGCAGACGGTGGTATCTGACAAGGGAAGGAACCCAAGTCAAAGTGGGCATTTGAAAAGAGACCTACACTGCTAGACGTATTTTTTTATGCTGTTGTCGAATCTGCACTCAAAATCTGCCAAACGATTCTCTGAACGAAGTTATGGAGGTGGCCTCCGGAGAGTGCTCAACAGGGGCAGACACAAAAGACATGGTCGCCAACTGTCCAGCAGTGGCGGCTTGCGGTGGAGGTAACCGTGACGTTTCGAACCATGGAACCAAGCATCGGGTCTGGTAGTCGACGGCGATTTTACATCTTGCAGAACTTTTCCTCCAGGTGGTGAAAATCTTTCTATGGTAGTTTTACCGCCTTCGGCGACTTTCTGAATGCTCAAGGTGAACCAGTTCCTGCCAAAACCGCCTTCCACTGCACCATGATGTCGACTAGTTTTTAAAAAAGATGAGGATTGCAGGGCGTATGTTCTGTCTAAAGTTGGTAGTGTCGCACCTCTTGAAAAACTTCAGAGCAGGAGCTATGGAAGGAGTAGAAGTTGATAGATAGTTCTTACTCCATCTTGCGGAATGCCACTTGCGAAGACCTCGATATTGAGTGCGAAGAGGGCTGCGCAATTGAGGGCGAGGTGACCGTATGGGCTGCCATCGGCGTGAATGTGTTAAATAGCAGCAGCTCCACATCGAGTAGTTTTATGCTACATTGGTCTAAATTTGTTGCTACTATCGATCGCTAATAGCTACAATCATACCACACCTCTCCAACTTTCTCAGAGTTGGAACACTGGACGAATAAAGGATACAAAATTGTGATTTAGCGGTCAATTACACAATAGAGTAATATAGTATATCGGTGTCGGCCACCAACATCCCCACAGTGGGATATCCCTACCGGAACGGTGTATCGCATGAAAGCTAGACGTGTGAAGGGAGCGAAGTTGTGAATTAATGCTACATAATCTAGAAAGTTCCACTACTTCATACTTACGTTCACATAGGTACTCAAAGTTTAACTTAATGCAGGAAGTCTTTAGACAGGATTATTGATTTCGGATTTCCCACTCGCCCCGTGAACCCCGTACCCCATGCCTACCACCCGCCATTTGTCCTCTCATCCCGCCGCCTGCACCTCTAGCAAATTTGAAAGTTCCAGATCCCAGATCCACATTGACTATACTCACTCGCGCCCCGCCCCCAGTGGACGGAGTCTACACCGCCACCTGTCATTAGTTTTTCAAACTTGCCCTGTGCTTCTCTGCCAAATTTGAACACTCTAGGCACAGGCCAGCAGGAGTTATGGTCTTCCTATGAACTACACTTTTCGCGCACGCCCACCCTAGCGGGCGGAACCCAGCTTGAGTCACGTGTTCCCATGTAGGACTTCTTTCTACGCATTCCAACCTGGCTGAGCTGTTCCAGTTGGATTTCCAGAAGGCGCCATATAAGATGGTTACAGACAAACAGGCAAGCGGCCAAACAAACAAACCGACAAACCGACAAACTGACAGACATATGTGGCATATATAGAGTAAGTACAGATACTTTACGATTCCCTTTCTTATAGCTCCTAAGGATCATTCAAAACACATTGAGGGCCGACACGACTTTCTAAGTGCAGCGGTACCGGACTTCATGGTCCCTGCAGTAGTTGTGGCATGGTTTTCAATGAGCCTTTTTCGTTCAATTTTATTCTAATCATTTACGTACAAGTGCCAACTTGCCACTACAATAGTTTATGGTGAATCTTGGCATCGTCATCCTCGGCGTCCGCACATTTCGCAGTGTTTCATCATCCTTCAACCTTTCAGATTTCATAAAAAATAGGATCTCACTCAGAAAAACTGTCATACACTAGCAGATCCTGTCTACATAATCCTACCTTACAACCACTCCGATCCTGATAATAAAGGTAAATTTTCAGGATTCACTTATGCGATTCATGCGGTAGCTGATGGTAAGTATGGGAACGATGTGCACGGGAATGGCTCCTGGGACGGAATGATTGGTGAAATTCTTAGAGGGGTAAGTGTTTCCCCAGCCGTTAGAGAGAGAGTGCTCTAGTTCGCTTGATTTCGGGAGGCGGAAATGGCTGTGGCACCTCTAACTGTGAATTTCCGACGTTCAGAAGTGGTTTCCTTTACTAAACCGTTTCTCTCACTTGGAATCAGCATCTTGTACAAGGTCGTAATGTCATTTAGATTTGTGCCACTAGGCTGTTTTGCACCTCATGCTTGGCTTGAGTTCCGCTGATTCAGGTACCGGATGACTACCAACCCGATCTCTTCTCGTTCCTCAACCCCCTATCATGGCAAATTTGGTTAGCTATACTAGCAGCTATAGGTACGCTTACTTACGATTATCATTCTGTTGTTGACTGTTTAGCGAAGGCCCCAAAGTGCTCATTAAATTTGGCATTGAAAGAAACTCTTATAATTGGAAGGATCCCAGCAATCACTCATTGCACGGCTTTCTACTGATATGGTTCTGTTTTCTTGGGGGTATTCACTTAAAAAAGGAAAACAACTACAGCTGCGGGTAAAACTGAAGTGGATCACCGTAAAAACTCCCGTGATGAGTTTACGCGATCATTGCCGAAAAGCTTTATTTGTAAAGCGGTATCTCCCTAATTTGATTGCCTTACGGGATTTTTGTAGATAAGCCAGGCAAGAAAGTTGAACGAGGTACACTGATAAATCCACACTGTGGTTAGCCTATCAGCGATCTGGATAGTTGATGGCTAAGACTCTGATGTATGATGAAACTCCTATGATCATCCATACATTGTGTAGTTATTGCAGAATTTCGATAAAAGATTGAACGCTCGAAGTTGCAAGGCTTTATGTCTTCCTTCGATAATCGTGAATCGCTTTGTATTTTTAACAGCATTCAGTATGTGTGACGCTGGGGATGTACACGGTGTCGCGAGTGACGCCGTACGAGTGGAACTTAAACTTTTCGTGTTGCACGGCACATCAACCTCACCCGGGTGCCGCCTTTGTGGATTCGCCTGTGGAGCTTTCAAACAACTACAGTTTTTGGAACACATTGTGGTAAGTTATCTAATCCAAGAGATCCGCGGGACGAATCGTGTTCTACATGCCTTGCATTAAGTACTTATTAATGCAGTGAAAATTGGAGATGATAGCTCATTTCTGTAACACTAGAGATATAATACCTTGCTAGATTGAGGTGTGCTCATCTAAGCCAGCTAGGTTGCAAGTGATTACTGTCTTCTTCGTAATAAGTATGCTTCAACCTTGTGAGTATATGTATGTCGAAATCTAGCTGACACTTTTAGATTATCGCTCATCACGTGCTCGACCGCTTGTCCAACTGTTCTTAGAAAGTTATACGATAATTTTTGAAATTGAACTTTTCATTTCTTAAATTCTAATTTCGAAAAAAGTACTTGCGAAAACGGCCCTCACGCATCCGCGTTCTAACGCTTTCCTTGGGTCCGAGGCGTGTGCCGAGCCTCACCGCATTCCGATTTCCTCAAGAAGTTCCAATGTAACTTTATTTTATTGATCAGTTCATGAGGTTAAATACAATTTCCGTCGGCCCGGTTAAATATAACCGACGGAATTGTACTTAACCTCGTGTACTGTTCAATAAAATAAACATCTATGTTGGAACTACGCCGAGGTTTATCGAGTGCCGAACATGGCGACTACTTGGAAAAGTCCTGCAAAAAGCCTGATAAGTTGGACGCTCACTACTTCCCCCCCCCCCCCCCCCCTCGCCCGCCCCACGGTCGACGCGCTTCTCGACGATCCTTGGGTCTGTGTCGAATAGAATGAAAATTGTCCCGAAACAAAGTAATGTCTCTTACTACGTTTTTTGTCTGGGAGCAAAATGATTGAAATTCTTCTGTCTAGAAAACTAAGCTTGAGAGAGGTATTTCTTAATTGCCCGTGATTTTTTTATTCCGAATCATCTTTTCCATCATCATAGGTTTAGTATTGTCATCTTTGGACAAAATTTGTGGTACAATGTAGCAACTGCATCCAATTTCTCTCCTCTACATATGTAGGTTTTTCCTGTGGGATACCACCCCGCGCCGTGAAAAAACCCGGCAATGATATGCTCTTAAGTAACCCACGACACCTCAAAAAGAGAACTCGTTTTTCACAACTGATTCTACAGCATGTAAAAATTCTGTTACCTTTTCCATTCACACAGTGGAAAAATGCGTTATTTTAATTTTCCCTGGTGCTTTCATAGGAGTGCACATTCACACGGAGTGCAACTTTGAGTAATTAAATGTGTCAACAAGATGCTATCGTTTCTGACGGCATAGTTTTGCTTCGAACGCATCAAATGAAACAAGAGCAATAAAAGTTTACGCTTGTCTGTGAAATTTTCGAAAATTTGGGGAGAATTTATTGTGAAAAACGGAGCATTTCACAGCATTCATCGCAACGAGTGTATTCTCAACAATTGAGAGAACATCCCGATGACGACATGTCTGAATAGATCTCTTTGAAGGTATGTGACAAGTACAATGCTGAAAGGTGGATGTGATTTTGGTCCTCGGGCAGTGTCAACAAGACTGCTAGGAGGTATGAATTTGACTCGCATCTAATTAAAGGGGTCCTCCAAAGGTAATTTTTTCTAGTTGTGCCCAGCGTTTTTTTGCCAAATTTTTTGAATCCTCGTCTGAGAATCGCGGTTTTGATTCGATTGAAAAGCCGAAATTCTCGTGGTAGAAGTGTAGCATAGAATAATTACGAATTCACGAAAAGTACAGTCCTGTATACTCATTAAGGAACTTGGTGGGTGTTCACGCTGGTGATCATCAGCGCCTACACGGCTAACTTGGCTGCAGTTCTCACCGTGTCGCGACCGTTCATACCGATAAAAAATCTCGACGACTTAGCGAACCAGACGACCATTTCATATGGGACTATCAAAGGAGGCAGCACTATGCAATTCTTCCAGGGAAGTTGTTATGATTCTTTTATAGAAATTATAGGCACCTCTTGAGAATCAGAAGACAATTTCTCTTCTACCATCAGACATCTGCAGTGATGATATTGTGCAGATGATAAGTTCTAAACTTGGAAACTTTGAAGATAGTTCGATGTTGTCGTTCGGGCTGCACTTGTGTGTGGATGGATGATGAGTGGGTAAAATTTGCTGAGGATGCAGAGCGAAACAATCAGATAAAAACTTTAAAAATACAACAAAAACAAACGAGCACACGCGAAATCGAGATTAGGCTGGAAAATTGCTTCAACGAGACAGCCCTGAAGAGCTTGATGAAGGAGCCCTTTGAAGCGGGAGTTCGCCAATTAGGCCTTGCGCAAACTGCACGACTCACGAATCGCTTGGGTTCATTACGTGGTGGTCCACAGCACCACTGGTGATAGTCTCTTCCACTTACTCAATTGCTCCTTCAATAGGGACCTCTCACAGTTTCTTCTCGCAATTAGGCGTATAGTGGCTAGCGTCAAAGGTGACATGATTTATGCCCCCATTACGAGGAAATTCGGGAGTGATTCTCAACGTTGAACATCGCTCGACACGTAAATGTGGAGCAGCTTTTATTGGGTCACTTATTATGAGCTGATCATATGCTTGAGAACCTAGACAAGTTGTCTATGAAGAAAAGGCGTCGTGTGATAGGTATTCAGGGGTCAGTTAAAGCCCATAGGTCCAAATAGCAAAGTGGCTGAAATGGCTTTACCAACCGAAACACCCACACATCTTTAGAATGTGGCCTATTTGGCACACCACCCTACTTTTTTGTTTGCACTGTCTTTGAGCACTTAATGCTCTTATCTATGCCTTTTGGAGCAGCCGCGCATCAGCTTATCGTACCCCAAAATTCGTTTACCTCATTTGAATGGAAAAATGGTTCTCAGCATTTTTTAAGTCCTAAAACAGTCATCTCTCTTGGCGCACTAGTGTGGAACGTTCCGACATTTGCGCAGCGGCAAATTTGGCTTGGGAATCTCCAACATGAACACAAGCTTATCTTTTTCGGGATGTGGAATTCTCTGGGCTCATCTCAACACCTAATTTCTATAGGTTGATGAGATTTATGCGGTATCGAGGAAACCGAATGAAATTTCCAACCTGGAATCCTTCAATACCGTACAAGTCTTATAATCCCTTATAACTCACTGACTTTCTATATAGATAAGTACTCGTGAATGAGGAATTTTCAGGAATCCAAAATAGGTTCTCACGCAAAAATGTGGGAATACATGAAAAATCGTGATGTGTTCGTCAAAGATAACAGAGAAGGTGTTGAAAGAGTAGTAAGGTATGGACTTCCACTTGATCTCGCAGTATTAATCGAATTTTTTGAACCATTGGACATGTTGTATTCGCGAAAAATCCTTTTGAAAATTTTGGAAGTTTTGTGCTTACTAATTGAATTCCTGATCGATTTTAATGAGTTTTATTAGGCGAAACTTCGCGTATCTGATGGAGTCAACATCTCTCGAATTTGAAGTGTCGCAAAACTGCAATCTGACTCAAATTGGTGGTGTTCTGGGCTCGAAGGGATATGGTATAGCCCTGCAGAAAAGTTGGTAATTTTCGTCTTATTCTTTGCATTGTGATGTTTGCAGGCTCATAGTGTCATGAATCCGTTTGCCGTTCTGCCCCGTTCCTTTGTGAAGCCAAAATTTGGAGTCTAAGCTTGAATTTTGGCCTGATACAAGTCATGATTGGATCATTATTGTAGTACTCCTTCAACATATTTCCCGGCTTAATGGTGACACTCTGTTTTGCAGAATCTGAATGGACGGATCGAATATCTCGTCAGATTCTACTCTATCAGAAGCGAGGCATAATCGAAATGAAAAAGTCAAAGTGGTGGAGGAGCAAGTACGTCGACTTTTGAGACTGTAACATTTACAAGCGACCAGAGTAGTATGACAAAGAGATCTTACAAAAAATGTTTTCCCACCAGTTGAAAGCATGGAATTGGAAAAAATGTTGCTTGTTAAGGAATTATTCTCTTAAATACTACTTTCAGAGGAGCCACTTGTACAGGGGCTAGTTCGGCCGTGAAGCAACAGCGGTTTTCACTCAGTCTACACAACGTCGCAGGACTTTTTATTATTCTCGGAGCAGGGCTTCTCTTCGGCGTGGTGACAGTCATAGTGGAGTTATTCATCAGGTGCAGACAAATGGCGAAGAAAGAAAATGTGGGACCTATAACAAGAGACTGTTAAAAGATTCAATATTGATATTTCATTCACAGAATCGGTCTCTCCATCATTCTTTTCTTTCCAGATTTCTATTTGGACTGAGCTCATAAGTGAGTTGCGTTTTGCACTCAATCTGAATATTATCGAACAACACCGTTCGAGAAAGAAGAACAGCAAGCTGAATGGCGCTGTACCTTCGTCAGATCAGCCGCCAAAGAATTCGCCTGTACCACAGATTCACCGGCAATTCGGAGAGAAAACTAAGCCCTAGAAAATACTGCTGTTTAACAGGAACAGAACGGAGTAAAGATAAACCCTCAGATCATGTAGAGCTCGTATTCCTGTGAAAATAATTGTATGTATTTAAGTTCAACTAAAGTTCTAAAGGGGTGTGTAAATTACGTGGTTTCGAATCGACCTAGCAAATAAAGCAGTTCAGCATGTAGGTCTACTTGAATTTATTACGAGTACGACTTAGCCTATAACTGAGAATAATGGTCCTAGTGATGCAAATATATAGAGGCGTCATCAGAAGAAGTGAAACGTGATGTCACGATTCACTGTCGTTCACAGTGAGACGAAACTATTTGCTTGCAGATTTTTCTCCACACATTTCTTCTGTTCTGGGAACAACAATAACATTCATGCTCGTATTAAAATCATAAGCTTTAGGAAGAGTATGCGGAATCTGCTATACCACTTAAGGAATTGTAATGTCTTGTAAAGGGGTGGGATTCGATAGGAAGTTCGATCAAAAGTTTCGTGCTTGTAAATATTGTGAACAAGGCATCGAAGGTAATGATGTCTTGAATCACTCCTTGTGCACTCACCACACGAGTGAACAAGAGTACAAACTTCTCAACCAATGATTGGCCAAGAACCAGTTAGTGCCATCATCTTCTATAAGGGATCCCTAGAGAAAAGCACTAGCGTAACTGGGATTATCAGCAAAATTCCTGAAGGCACTGTTCACTCATCAATAGCCATGAATTCGTCGACCCGCTCTGCTACAAGACACATTGTCTTCAGAGGCAACGTGAACATCAGTCTTTCCGAGGCAGTTGAGGCATGAAAGGACCGAAGCACTATGAATTGAGTTGTATACGGACGAGTTAGTAACAGCTGCTTTTGATAGCGATCAATCCCAGCATCTGGCCAACGTAATAAAGAAAGGATACCTAAATCCATCATGAATTCACATAAAACACGGCAAAACCGTCGTAATTTCGCTTCTGAGATCGGTCGAAAAACCTATATTCGGCTGCTCAGAGGTTTTTCATTCACTGTGAATCCAAGAAACGCTCGTTCTGGTCGCCATTTGCTTCGTCTGCGTAAGGATCACAATAGTAGAAAAAGAATCGCAACTTATCGCTCAATGATTGCATTTCTGATGTCCGCTCATATGGAGAACTCGGCAGTAGATTCAAAAAAAAACTTCCTCTTCGTCGAAAATTTTCTGCCGAGTTGAAAGTGAGATAACGTGACAATTCTTCCAAACTGGTCTTCTTAAATCTCCATACCTTAGTTAGGATGAAATCGCGGAGAATCTCGTAAGCCTCGCTGCCGGTATCGAGACTTCGGTTCGCAAATCCTCCAGAGCTCCGTAGCCGCATTCAGCGTAGTGACACGTCAAGACGTCCGCAAATAGCTTGTGAAGGTAAAAAATGACATGACTAGTAGGGCGACGAATAAGTGCAACAGTGGCCACTGATGTACATTCTGTATATGCATAAGAGATGCACTGAAAACGGTCCTGTCGTCGGTCTAACGGGCGGCCCCGTGTTCGATTGCGTTTTACGATGCGTGCTCAACTTCTCGATCCACGCGTGGATTTCCCCATTTAGCTTGGAGGTCTACGAAGAAAGGCGTCGTGTAAACCTCAGAAGGTGTCATTCCGGACAAAAACGATTATCTTAATGAAGTTATGGGGTTTTAGGTGAAGTCTGACATAAGCGAAGTAAAGTTTCATGGACGTACGAAGTTCCTTGGCGAAGGCTTGGAGCAGTGGTAAGGGTGACGCTTCATGTGTAATGGACTAGAGTTCGTGTGTGGGAGGCGATATTTTCGCATTATATTGAATTCGCTCCTTGTAGCTTAGAAACTCCTTTGATTTTGATTTCATCGCGTTCTACGGCCTTGGGGTGACAACTTTCGTACGCAAAACATGCAAACTCGCTTCAAGTTTCTTGCACGTTTTTACACTTCATGCGCAGCGTGTCCTTCATGTGCGGAGTGGTGCTCGATTTCTGTGGGTTCAAGTAACACGGTTCACTCCCCACATATATTAATTTTACGGCGTGTTTTCACTCAAGTAACACTCATTTCACGCATGATCCGCCCCCACATCCCTCCTACGCCCCGCAGGCTGAATCTAGTTCAGTTCTACTACCTACCTTCGCTGTCTAAATACGCCTCCTGCACTCGTTCCAAGTTTGAACGCCTCAGGTCCAAATTGTCAATTTTCACGCACGCTCCGCCCGGGTTCGAGTACTGCAATCTATAATTAGTGCTCCCATCCTGCCAGTAGTGCCACCTTTACCCCTACTAAGTTCGAACGCTCTAGTTGCACGTGGCAGGATAGGAAACAGAAATAATGATTTTTCGCTCAAACCCTGCCCGCTGTGCACGGAGTCCGGGTGCAACTAAGTGACTACGGTACGAAAAAATTTACTCACTCACTAGCATAAGTAAACAGAAAAACCCTAGTAACAGCAAAAATAACTCACCTTTTTCAGCCT